CGTTGGTTTTATGAGTATATAACTACTGCGGAGTACAATAGAAATTCAACCCATTTCAGAAAGTGTATCCATATCATAACGTCGTTCCACAAAGCAGACGGACAAAACTCAGATAAACAACGTACAAATTATAGCATTTGGGATATTTTCAAGGGTTATCTGTTTTCCGTAAAATACCCCGACAGGACCAGTGACAACCACGGGGACGGCTGAATACCCATCTCTTCATACATACTTATAGTAAGCAACATCGGTTACATTAGGCCGAACGATGTATACAAGTTTCATAAATTTACGTAAATCAACAACAAGCGCACTTAACACAAAATTCACTTTAAGTGTTTGAATAAAAAAATTGAATAAAAAAAATGAAATATCAGTCATATCAAATATTATAAAGTCTCACCAGTTTTATGAATAAACGGTTGTATCTAAATCTTATAGTTCACGCTCAAATATTTCAAATGTTGCCTTGTTGCTCGCATTTAACGAGAATATGCATTTTATAACTAATTAGATAATGCTCGGAAATCCTAGCCGGGGTAGCTCTATAGTGATGATATGTGCTACACGCGTTTGTATGAGGCGGAAGGATATTTGAATTTTCCTTGTATGACTAACCCATTCGTGTTCCCTGCTTAACATGGGGATGTTTGAATGCTTTGCTGTGGTTAATACTTGTATCATTGCAATGACGTGTACGTGCTATGGTAAAGGTACTTCCTTGTTTGAGTAGCCCAGCCGTAGAGAGTGTTCGCTCGTCAAGACGGCCAGGGTTCGATCCCCATACGAGGGCTCGTCAAAAAGTTAAACAAACATTATTATGGGCCATAACCAAGGTGCGCTAGTTAAGGTAGTACATTGTTTGAGTAGTTCATTGCAAGTGTATTTGGTCTCTTCTGGCCGTTTGTATATTAGTGACAGCCAGTTGAACGTGATAGGGCTCCAATTGGACACAGAAATGGAAAAGAACGAGTACCGAGCAGTCACGTTTTTGACTTTAGAGAATAGTACTACCTAAGAAATTCATGACCGCATGTCACAAGTGTATGAGGATAAGTGCTCTAGCTATCCAGCTGTTGAACGTTATGTTTAAGGCTGGGAGAACAAGCCTTGATGATGACCCTAGGTCTGGACGTCCCTCAACTTCCATCCATAAAGACCCGTGCTCGTGGGTTTCACCGAAGTGGTAAACGTCTGAGACCTGCATCACTTCGGGCTTTCCTCCCACATTAAGCTGACATGCCGTGATATAACTTGAATACTGTTAAAAGCGGCGTTAAACCCAACTCACTCACTGACTGCATCTATAAAGATTAAATCAAGGAGATAGTAAACATATGCTGTCAGATAGACGTATTACCATTGCTGAACTAAAGGAAGACACAGGTCTAAACCATGGATCCACTGAAAACTAATATTCATGAACATTTACATGTGAATAAGATATCTACTCGTTGGGTGACAAAGTTTCAAAATTCTGATCTTGAGGCAAAAAGAACTGACATTACGAGAGACAATTTAGAGCTTATTGAGGAGGATTTTGTCAAATTCAAAAAAGATTAGTAACGGGTGATGAAACATGGGTTTACCAATTTGATCCCGAGTCAAAATGTCAATCTATGGAAGAGCACCATCCTACTCGTAATAATCGTTTACAAGCTTACTCAGTTCAGACTAATCTGATAAGCGAAGCGCAAGCAGGATTTAGAAAAAAATACTCAACAATTGACAATATGTTTATTCTTAAAGCTCTCATTGATATCTATAGAAACCTTAATAAGAAGTTGTATTGTGTTTTCGTCGATTTTAGCAAAGCTTTCGATACAGTATGGAGGTGTGGTCTGTGGACAAAAATGATAAAGTCTAATATCAAAGGAAAATGTTTTAATGTCATATATAATATGTATCAAAATATCAAATCGTGTGTTACACATAATAACAAGGTGTCAGGTTTCTTCCCATGTCAAATTGGTGTAAGACAAGGTGAAAATTTGTCACCTTTCCTGTTTGCTTTGTACCTTAATGACCTTGAACAATTTTTATCTGAAAATGACTTTGAAGGACTGCATAATGTAAATAACCTTTTAATAGATTCACTTGAACTGTACATAAAACTTTTTCTCATTTTGTATGCCGACGATACTGTTTTAATGGCCGAAAGCCCAGAAGATTTAAGAAAGTGTCTCACTATATTTGAAGAATATTGTACTATCTGGAAACTTAAAGTCAATGTTGACAAAACGAAAGTTGTTATTTTTGCCAAGCGCTCCACAAATAGAGTCTTCAAGTTTATGTTAAATGGCTCGTTTCTTCATGTTGTTAAAGAATATGTTTACCTTGGTATTTTATTTACAAACACTGGTAGATTCTGTAAGGCACTAAAGAGACTGACAGATCAGGCATCTAGAGCAATGTACGCTGTATTTCGTAAAATTAGAATATTAGAAATTCCTATTGACTGTCAACTGAAATTATTTGATCAACTTGTTCAGCCAGTATTGTTATATGGATCTGAGGTATGGGGTTTTGAAAATGCTGTTGTCATTGAACGTGTACATCTAAAATTTTGTAAATATATTCTCAAGTTAAAACAGTCAACACCCGATTACATGGTATATGGTGAACTAGGGAGGTATCCTCTCATCATTTTCATTAAGATAAGAATGATTTCATATTGGTGCAAGCTAACATCATCACAAACTAGCGTTTCTAGTATAGTATATAAACTTATGTTTCAAATGTCCATTGCAAATCCAGATTACCATTTCCAACTATTAAAGGAAGTAAAATGCATTCTTCAAAATATAGGCTTTAATTACATTTGGCTGTCTCAAACCTTTATTAGTGCCGCATGGTTGAAACAAAATGTGAAACATGTTCTCATTGATAATTTTCTGCAAAGATGGCGAGAATCAAAGGAAAATTCATCTAAAGGTTACTATTATAACATGTTTAAAGAGTTACCATCTCTAGAACCTTATTTACTAGAACTACCAATCACCTTACGCATCTCTCTTGCTCGTTTTAGAACAGCAAATCATAGATTACCCATTGAAACAGGAAGATGGTATAATATTGTGAGAGAGGAAAGAAAATGTACATTGTGTAAAAATTTTATATGTGATGAAATGCACTTTTTATTAGAATGTCCAAAACTCTCAGAAATTAGAAACAAGTTTTTGCCTCAATACTACTGTATGTATCCTTCTGCCGTAAAATTCTCTCATTTGATGTCCATTACTTATAAGCCAACTCTATTAAAACTGGCAAGTTATATAAGATCATGTATGGAAATGTTCCACTGACATGTTTTCTTCATTGTATCTTATTCCTGTGTCCAATTACATCTCTGTATCACTGCCGTGATTTACGAGAATAAACATCATTCATTCATTCATACTTCTCCGGCACCAAAGAAACTAAAGTCTTCAAGATCAGTGAAGGAGGTTATGGCCACTGTATTCTGGGATGCAAAGGGTGTGATCCTTGTTGATTACTTAGAAAGTCAAAAGACGATTACCGGTGCCCACTATGCTGATTTGCCTATCGCCTGAGAAATTATATTAAAGAAAATCTACGAGAGATGCTGACTGCTGGAGTTCTACTACTTCATTACAATGCCTCTTCTCACAGCTCTCGACTTGCAATGGCTGCTGTGCGACAATGTGGGTTCGAAAACACATTCACAATTGTTGGTTTTGTTAGAACTTTTGACCAGCCTTCAAAGACACTACATACACACAGCGTGGGCACGGATGGCCCAGTCGTCTTAGGCGCCGCGATTCGCTATGCAGAGCTGCGTCCCTTGGGCACGCCAGAAACCTATGATTTTGGGTTCGAATCACGATTCTCCCCGATTATGTTTCCAGGTTTGTCAGCACCACACTCGTGCTCGTGGGTTTCACCGAAGTGGTAAACGTCTGAGATCTGCATCACTTCGGGCTTTCCTCCCACATTAAGCGGATTTGAGAGAACTACTGGTCTATTTATTGTGTTACAGACTTGGCACAAGCAGACACGATGGTACGTTTTCTTAGTTATGGACCAGTCGTCAATCTATAAACACCGCCCAAATCGGTATTAGGTTTCCCATAAGAAAGCACCGATACACTTGACTGTGTGACTCTGTTGCAGGTAACCTGGCGCCTGTACCCCTCCCCTCTCCAGCATACACGGTATGAGCTGCTGCGGAGACAAGGCTGTACATGGAACATCCCTGTATTGTTTATCATCCAGGTCAACGCCGTGTCCATGGGGATAGAATGCAGGTCACGTGGCTCTCTACCTTGTCCGCTGTAATCATCCTGATTGGTCCAAGGTTCCCATGCAGTAAGATTTAATGACGTAAAATACTGTACTTGAGTGAGTGAGTGAATATGGTTTTACGCCGCTTTTAGCAATATTCCAGCAATATCACGACCGGGGACACCAGAAATGGGCTTCACACATTGTACCCATGACGGGATTCGAACCCGGGTCTTCGGCGTGACGAGCGAACGCTTTAACCACTCGGCTACCCGACCGCCTTACTGTACTTGAAATTAGCTGGCCAGCAAAAGCAAGTGTACGCTCATGTGGGTTTTAGGGTGGAAATAATTATACAAACAAGAAATGGTTATTCGATGGTGATGTATTTGATACGGGTATCAGAGGCCATACTGCTTGCATCGCATCAAAGATTATGTCACAGCAAGTGGCTGTGTTTAGCCATGTAACGTTTGTAAGTTTTAGATTAAATCCAATTTTCAAGTGTATATTTTCTTTTCCCCGGCAGTGTATCTCGACAAGAGTAATCGCTCTGTTTATCTTTAACATTTAGTAAGATATCAGGAACAACAGATTTAATGAGTGTAGAAAGTGTGCATTGTCCAAAGGGCGATAACAGTTACTTTGCATGTATTTTGCTTTATTAAGAAATGTGTTATATCATTTTTAACAATGTATGTGTGTTTCTATGATTGTTCTACCAATTTATATCACAGCATCCCCAACAAGCACACCATGCAGCAACTGTGACGGTAAAAACGTGACCTGTGTTGACGGTGTGTGTCTACCTCGCTGTGTCAATGTGTCGTCATCTGGAGAGTGTTTCCAGTGTCGGGACTCCAGGTTCTATGGTAAACAGTGTGAACATGACTGTCCAGACACCTGTCTCAACATTAGCTGTCAGATGGACAACACCCGTGTTGTGTGTACAGAGGGATGTGTGGCCGGCAAGAAGGGAGATAACTGTGGTGTGAACTGTCCTACAGCCTGTACACAGTGTGAACGTTATGGTGATGGTTGTACAGGACCGTGTCAGAATCCCCGGTATTACGGTCCACACTGTAGAACATCTTGTTCCTCCAACTGTACAGATGTATGTAATAGGATCACGGGGGAGTGTGACAGCTGTGCGCCAGGTTACACAGGGGACAAGTGTAATGTTACCTGTCCCCCCAACTGTAGAGGTGGATGTGATAAAGACACGGGGGAGTGTGACAGCTGCGTGTCGGGCTACAGAGGGAAGAACTGTAATGACACCTGTCCCTCCATCTGTAGAGATGGATGTGATAAGGAGATCGGAAAGTGTGAGGGTTGTAACCCAGGGAACAGTGGGAAGTACTGTAATATCTCCTGTCCTACCACCTGTAGGGAAGGATGTAATCAAGACGGCAGTTGCAACGTGACAGGTAAGTTGTACACATATAATTTTATTCATTTCAATCCCACATTGGAATAAACACATCGAAAGTAGTTATGTTGTGCACTTGCTGGTGTCACAAAGAGAGGGGGTTGTGACAGTTGTGATACTAGAAATACGACAGGGATTATTTACTTTGGAATACGGAAACTGATTGAAGAGGGCCATATCAACATAAAGTCTACATGGAATAATCCGTTGGGATTCTTGGTTAGAACGTTATGGTGATGGTTGTACAGGACCGTGTCAGAATCCCCGGTATTACGGGCCACACTGTAGAACACCTTGTTCCTCCAACTGTACAGATGGATGTAATAGGATCACGGGGGAGTGTGGCAGCTGTGAGCCAGGTTATACAGGGGACAAGTGTGATGTTACCTGTCCCCCCAACTGTAGAGATGGATGTGATAAAGACACGGGGGAGTGTGGCAGCTGTGAGCCAGGTTACACAGGGGACAAGTGTGATGTTACCTGTCCCCCCAACTGTAGAGATGGATGTGACAAAGACACGGGGACGTCAAGTGGTAAAGTTGTAATCTACGAAAGCCCATTACGACCATATTAGTATTTTGTTTTTTTCTCTTTTAGAAGTCGTAATTACGAGAGAAAAATCGTAATTACGACTTTTGTTTTCATAATGACGACTTTATTCTCGTAATTACGAGTTTTGTTTTCATAATGACGACTTTATTCTCGTAATTACGAGTTTTGAAAAGTCGTAATTACGACTTTTTTCTCGTAATTACGGCTGTTAAAAGTCTCTTACCAATACAAAATCCAATATGGTCCTAACGGGCTTTCGTAGTAATCGCTAATATGAATTATATCCGTTTTAGCTTATTGTTGTTGGTAGTACACTTCTGTGCATCATACGTATACTTACTGCTGTTTCTATAACGATGAATGAGCTACAGATTCACAACAAGTGTGACGGCATCAGGCTGTTCACACGGGGGCTACCTGCGAGAGTGGTTGGCGGGTGAGGCGCATTGTGACGGGTGTCGGTGGGTACAGGGTGTTATTGTCACAAATGCCTGGCGAGAAACAAGGAGTTGTTGAGGAGGGCGTTACGGGGACGTTTTGTGACAGAGGTGCATAGTGTGAATGTGATGAGAGCCGGGTGAGTTGTGACAGTTATGGCCGGTTACAGGGATGTATTGTGACAGTTATAGTCGTTCACAGGGATGTATTGTGACAGTTATAGTCGGGTTACGGGGATGTATTGTGACAGTTATGGTCGGTTTACGGGGATGTATTGTGAGAGTTATAGTCGTTCACATGGATGTATTGTGACAGTTAAAGTCGGGTTACAGGGATGTACTGTGATAGTTTTAGTCACGTTACAGTGATGTATTGTGACAGTTATGGTCGCGTTACAGGGATGCATTGTGACAGTTATGGTCGGTTCACAGGGATGTATTGTGCCAGTTATAGTCGGGTTACATGGATGTATTGTGACAGTTATGGTCGCGTAACAGGGATTTATCATTCTAATATGGGCGGGTTACAGTGAATCATAATTAAAGTTGTTGGTGGCATACAGTTGTGGGTGTGTTCGTATTATGACAGTTATGGTAGAAACGTTTGGATCGCGTTTCATACAAAATTCAAATTCGTTTTACTAAGTACTGTTTATGACGAAACATGGAGGATCGCTTGGTGTAGTCATCTTACTGTTTGTATACCCATCCATTAGCACACATTCCTTAAATAAACTCTTCAAAAGGGTAGGGAATACTCAGAAATAACTTAGAATTTCCAAAACGTACCATATATTGGTTTCTTAGTAATAGTTCCATGATAATAATGAACAAATTGGGAACACATTACAACCTGTAGTGATGTATGACAGTAGATGTTATGAACGCCCGCGATAGGGAGAAGTTGGGAAATTTCAAAGGTGACGTGTCTGGATCAGTATTGCGAAATACCGCCACGATTTGTCTAACATCCATTCACTCGACGAGCATACTGCTTATGGGGGATTTGTGGGAGCCTGTCCCACTCCTCTTGCAGCGCCTGGCCATGTTCAGCCATCGTGGTCGGCGGCCTATGACGTTGACGTACACGTCGCCCTATAATGTTCCAGGCATTCTATGTATAGGGTGATGCTGGAGGTGGGCATTGGCGATCAGTGCACGGTGATCGAGGGCGTTCTCGTCCTGAAAACGCCTTGCAAAGGAGACAACAAAGGGTGTCAGTATGTTGACCCGATGGTACAGATGGTACCTTCTTTGCACAATATGGAGTTGGGTTCGGTCAGTCATTGTGACACCTGTCAACTCTCATGTGATCTCAGGTTGTCATTGGCTTGAGATTCATTTCGACGTCGCCAGACACGACCACGCCTATCAGGGAAGTGCAAAGTTAATCAATAATTGACAGAAATAATGGTCCGCAGAGATTAATCGACCTTCCTTTAAAGTGTCAAAATCACATCTACAGATGTGTTTGGCGCTACGGTGTGAGGCACGTGTAAACTGAAGGTAGTGGTTTCAGACACAAACGTTCCGTCACAGGATGTTATCTTCGTTCTTTAATACTTTGTATTTACATTTATATTTCATGTTCCCCTAAATGTATAATTTGCTTTTTCCAACAGAACAGAGTGTAAACTAGTTTGCACTTTGTACAGTTCCAAATGCTATTGAAGGAGGGGCAAATATTCTTCTGACTAGAGGGTCTAGAGGGTCTAGAGGGTCTGAAGGGTCTTGAGGGCCTAGAGGGTCTGGAGGGCTTAGAGGGTCTGGAGGATCAAGAGGGTCTAGAGGGTCTGGAGGGTCTAGAGGGTCTGGAGGATCAAGAGGGTCTAGAGGGTCAAGAGGGTCTAGAGGGTCTGGAGGGCCTAGAGGATCTGGAGGGTCTAGAGGGTCTGGAGGGTCAAGAGGGTCTAGAGGGTCTGGAGGGCCTACAGGGTCTGGAGGGTTTCTTTTGGCCTTCGTCCTTCTTGTGCCTGTAATAATGTCTTTTGTATGCCGGAAACAGACTCAAGACATTGACTGGCAGTTCGATGATTAGAAGACTGCCAGCGTCCCAAATTTATAATTTAATTCATATGACATTGTTGTACATGTAGCAGGGCGTGGAGTCGTCCAACAGATGACATCCTTACCTTGTCAGCTTGCTGACGGGGTTAACCTCTTTGGTCATGTGGACAAGGCGTCCGACCTCGGATCAGAAGGTCCGTGGTTCGAATCCCATCACGGGACTCGGAAATTTTATGGCCGCTACATTGGCGCCCTACGTCGGGCTGTGCATGTCCATATTAAATTTGAGCAAAATAAGCCTCAGTACCCTATTATGCGGCCCGGGACGTGCCTTCCGTTGACGAGGGAGTATGTAGCAGGGCGTGGAGTCCGGAAAGTCGACTGCATATAAGGCTGTTAGATAGATGCAAAGGATATCTTCCCCAGACAAGGGAGTTAACTGATTATAAAAGTCGAGGTTCCACCCGAAACTGGCCCGAAATTTCGGAGTTGTCCTTTGGCTGGACTAACGAGTCTATGCATTGTCCTGTCAAAATCGCGTAACGAAATCGACATACGGTTCCTAAACAACATAGCTACCGCCGTGTAGATTTCGGTCGGTTGCAGGATTTGCAAAGCATGTGTACCGCCTACTCGTCGTAAACAGATACTTTCCAAATACTTTCATGTTTTTAATCAAGGTGCTCACGAGATTTGATGCACTTCGCGAAGTAAAACCCGTTTGATCACAATATAGGTTTTGATCAGATCGCCTTGACTGGGCGCCGTCATTTTGTTTGAAGCAAATGCAAGTGATACGAGAGGTGGAATTTGATTGTCATTAGGAGGGACATAGAATGGACATAACTCGTAATAGCCACTGGTGACGCTACGATCGATATTTTCCAAATCTTTTCATGTGTATAATCAAAGTGCTCAAGTTGTTTGACGCTTTTTTGCGAGGTAGGACTCGTTTAACTACAATATAGATCTTGACTATCGATCAGATCGTCTTGACTGGGAGCCGCCATTTTGTTTGAAGTGATATGAGATGTGGAATCGGATTGGTCAATAGGAGGGACATAGAAGGGACAGAACTCGTAATAGCCAATCTAGTCACGAAATTCACGAAAATCCAGCGTAGTTCGGCAAGGATAGGAACTTGACTTTTATAGTCAGTTAGCTCCCTGGCCTCTGGAAGATGTGCAAAGGAATATGTTCAATGCGATTGCCTAAACAATTTACATTTAATAGCATTACTTGCATATACAATGTAACAAACACACAGACGCAGACACACGTACACACATACACAGACGCAGACACACATATACACAGACGCACACACACACACACACACACACACAAACGCAGATACACACATATATTCACACATACACACAGATGCAGAAATACACATACACAGACAGACGCAGACACACACATACACATGACGCAGGCACACACACACAAATACGCACACATACACAAAGACGAAGACACACAAATACACAGACGTAAATACACATAGATTCGCACACAGACTCGCAGACGCAGACACACACAAACATATATACACAGACGCAGACACACACATATACACAGACAGACGCAGACACACAGACTCACACATACAATTAGACGCAGACGCACACATACATACGCACACACAAATGCATACACAGACGCAGACACACAGACTCACACATACAATTAGACGCAGACATACACATACATACGCAGACACACACATACACACGGACACAGACACACATACAGAGAGACACATACGCGCACATACAGACAAACGCAGACATGGACAGGTAGACATAGACAAACGCAGACACACACATACACATACGCAGACACACACACATTTATTTTGCCATTGTCTTCCAAAGCGTTTGAGACAATATATTTAGATACTGAATCACTGTTTAAATGACCAGCAGACAGCCACAGCTGTTAGCGAGAGGCCAATATATACGGGATATATTTGTGCATGTATTCTGTGACTTGATCATGACCTTCAACTGGTATATAATGAACACGTTTGTTTCAGCAACAAGAGCCAACGCTGAAGCCGCGTATGTTGTACTTGTCGCCATCCCCATCCTCATCCTCGTTGTCATCGTGTACAGAAGGTGCGCAGTTCATTGTATTCGTGTATACACCGATACTCCAATTAGAGAATACCACGCCCATAAGCAGAATAACATTAATAAAAGCCTCATTGGATGCTTTTCCGTTTACCCGTTCGTGACCAACTCGTGTTATTCCGGGACAAGCCGAATAGCGACTCGTTCCCCTCTCATGGCCATTTTTGCGACCGGGTTCCGTCTTAGCGTAAACGGGCATACCTAAAACAATTGTCAATTCGTTGGTTCACATATATTTCCCCATATATTTTATATATTTCAGATGCAATTTAAAGCACATCTGGACATGCGGAGTTATACAGTATGATTCAACACATTTAACTGTGTCATGGGTATATTTTTAGATGCAAGACATATGTAAAATCAAAAATTATTTCTGAGGGATTCTTTGACGAAGAAATTGAAATCATACGCGGATTCTGATTGCTTTGGCGTATTTTCGCACATTATATTCATCGATAGAGGGATGAGTCTTCTTGCTAGTTACGGAAAGGGGCGAGTGGTGACGAATGACCGTTTACCATCAAGGCACCGTAAAGTAGGGAACATGTTATTAAGGGTATGTCTTTCCATGTTGGTCCCTGAAACCATTTATGGAACTTTTATCGTCAGCCCGATGCGTGTCACGCTCAACAGTACCCACCCCGCAACGAAGAAGGGATCGAGCTTTACGTTGTCTTGTTTATTTATCATCCACGCCCATCTTGCGGATTTCACGACATGCATAAGAATACCATGTGCCTTTTATTTTCAAACAAAGGCGACGCAAAGGAAGACAGCAGAACCAAAAAGGAACTCCTAATCCAACATACACATCGTGTTCGGGTAAGAATATAGCCAATAGAAAATCGATCTAAACTAATCGATGTGGTGTTAGTATGACTTTTGAGAGTTCCTTATACCTAATTTTGACCCAATCAAAGGATCTTTTCACCAAAGGGATAAAATGTATTTAATAAAGTTATTTGTACAAAATTTAATTTCAAACCATGTTCGAGGTCCAATTGAACACAATACAGTAAACTAAGGTTATAACGAACTCAAAGGGACCACAAATTTTAGTTCGTAATAACCGTAGTTCGTCACAAGCATATATACAGCATAACTACAGCAAAAAGTCGGGACAAAAGGTAAGTTCGTTATATCCGTCAGTTCGTTATAAGCGTGTTTGTTATAAACGTAGTTTCCTTTATGTGCATGTGGAAGGTAGTTCAGAACTATGCCTATTTCATGTGAAGTTTCATCATGGAATACCACTTACATCGACTTCCTTGGCTTCATATCTGGACAGGACAGTGTTACATGTGTCCATCCTCCTGAGGCAAGTCCAGTTTCCACCCTTGCCGAACTAGGATGGAATTTCCAGGCTCGATCGTAGCGCCACCAGTGGCTATAACGAGTTATGTCCCTTCTACGTCCCTCCTTTTGACCAATCAGATTCCCCTCTCATATCACTTGCATTGGCCTCAAACAAAATGGCGGCGCCCAATTAAGACGATCGGATCGATAAACAATATCTATATTGTAATAAAACGGGTCTTACCTCGCGAAGTGCATCAAGATCACTCGAGCACCTTGATTAAAAACATGAAAAGGTTTGCAAAATATCTGTCAACGCCCAGTCGACAGTACACATGCTTTGCAAATCCTGCAGTCGACCGAAATCTGCATGTTGAAATCTATGTTGTTCACGAAACATGTGACTAGTTCGTTACGCGATTTTGATTGGACCATGCATAGACTCATTAATGCAGCCAAAATGTAACTCCTGAATTCCAGCCTAGTTCGGCAAGGTTAGAAACTGTACTTTAATAGACAGTTAACGCCCTTGCCCCGGGGAGATGACAGGTGTCATGTAACTGGGATTTACTGCATGTTATGGGATTTTACTGTTTTCGAAGTTACATACATGTTAATCTGCGTGTCTTCGTGACCGGAAATGTAAGACACATAACGAGACTTAACATTAGGATAAGACGAAAATTCTGCAAACGGAGGTATACATGCAACCTAAGTGTGCATTCGGCACATAATAATCATATGTCCATCTTCCAGTCTATACACTAGGCGGGGACATGTGTGATGAGCTGAACGGGGACACGTCGAAGGAGGTCATGGAGGGGGAGTTTAAAGTAGGTATACTTCAAGGCTCTGAATACATCTTCAACCGTACGGGGGGCACGGGTGGCCCAGTCGTCTAATTGCCGCAGATTTGCGTCCCTTGGGCACGCCAGAAACCTATGATTGTTGGTTCAAATCCCGGTTCGCCCTGATTATGTTTCTAGGTTTGTCAGCACCATACCAGCTCGTTGGTTTCACCGAAGTGGTAAACGTCTTAGACCTGCATCACTTCGGTCTTTCCTGCCACATTAAGCTGACACGTCGTGATATAACTGGAATATTGTTAAATGCGGCGTTAAATCCAACTCACACACTCACTCAACCGTACGATAAATAAATAATGTGATGCTATATGGCGAGTGGGTGGTCTGTGGTTAACGCTGCTAAAATTTGGAGGCTTACGTCCTTGGTGCAAATATGATGTTTATCAGCGAGGGGTCTTACCATAGGATGGATGTGCGATTCGAACCTCACACCCGGGTGCCGTTGTGCGAAGCGATCTTAGCGCTAAGGTGATCGTAACTTCCATACCATAACATAGACTTACGACAGTCGTAGCGTTAAGGTTGGTTTGTACAACGGCACCCAGGACCTTAAGGTACATCCCTGCACATGGAACTCCCTAATATATAGATCGGGGAGTGTTGTATGACTTGGCTGATTCTGTGTCTCAAATCCGACCAACTTTTGCCAAGTCAATATTCAAGCATTTTTCTCCATGACATATCACTGTCTGCGGCTTTAAACACCACTCGCATAAAAGCTATTATGTTTCTGTTTTAGAAACTGCCTTCTTCAAATATAAAACCAGTAAATTGTGCCTCCTTGGACGAAAACGAAGGGAAGAACAGATACAAAGATATCCTGCCATGTATGTAATTATATATCCTGCTGTACTCTTTATTTTGAGTCATTTTACAAAAGAAAATTATACTTACTTTAATCAATCTTAGATAGGTAGAATCTTGCGGTTCGTTATGGAACTTCTACTTTGAGTAAATGTTCGAAATTGGAGTTTATGGATATCTATGAATTGCTGATCCTTTTCGCGAACTCCAGGTGTTATCACCATTTTGTCAGCGATTCATAATTATAATGTTCACTGTTTGGGCTTCTGCGCCAAATCGGACCGCCTCCGTGGTCTAGTGGTAGAGCGTCCGCCCGGAGAGCGGAAGACCAGGGGTTCGATCTCCGGCCGCGTCATACCAAAAGACGTTAAAAGATGGTACTTGTTGTTACCCTGTCTGGCGCTCGGCATTAAGGGGCTAAAGCAAGGACTGGTCGGCTCGGAATCAGTATACTGTGTCTGAGTGGGGTATTCATGTTAAACTGCGGCATGGTATTTCAGTGAGCTAGCACTATAAATCGGCATCATTCCGGACTAGTACAAGCAGCCACACAAACACACACACGTACATGCACGTCACTATATAAGTGCAATAATCTTGGACGCGACGTTAAACCCCATTTCACCTCACCTCACCTCTGCGCCAAATTGAGTCTGTTTTGGTGGATAATCGAGACTGGTTGTCTCTGGCGCTGACGTTTTCAATTTCACATTCAATTTCGAGGTTTAATCTTATCTAAAACATACAGATTCACACGGAGTACTTGTCTCTGATGTTGGTCAGCTTTATGACCCTATTTTCGAAATAGTCTCCATGTCACGTGCTCCTTAACATTAGCATCAAACAGACATGGCGGATAGATATCTGATAAAATGCATGTCCCATTTGCTTGTTGCACACGTGTGTCCGACCAACTGCTACTGTTATCGCCGTTATTGCAGAGAAACAGTTCAATCCTGACACAAAAACAGCATAAGATGTTATTTTTGGTGTTTACAGTTGATGCTACACGAGTGCCCCTTGAGATTGAAAATGAAGATGACAGTGACTACATCAACGCCTCTTACATAGATGTAAGTTATGAAACAATTTAGTTTGGTTCTTATTAGATTTTGTGTGGTTCTTGTATTTAGTGTGGTTCTCGTATTTATACTGAACAGCATTGAAAACGCACCAGCAATAAATCTTGAAATATTACAAAAACAACTTGAGCAATGACCGATTTTGATTAGAACAGACATAGACGGATTATTAAAAAAAGACGACAAAGGAAACAGGAATACCACACAGTAATTACAATTACGTCATCAGTGTAAGGAAGACACATAGGGTTAAAATGAAAAAACAATATCTGGTATGTCCGCCATTGGCAGCAACACAGGCCATGCAACGTCTTTTCATTGATCAAATAAGTCTGCGAATAGTGTTCTGGGGCATTCCACTCTTGACGTAGTGTATCTTCAAGTTCTCTCAGGTTCTGTACTTGCGGACGACGTGAGAGGCGTTGACCCAGGTAACCCCATAGATGTTCAATTGGCGACAGATCGGGTGACAGGGCTGGCCATGGAAGCAGAGGCACATTATTGTTCGCTGGGTACTGTGTTGAAACACGTGCTGTGTGCGCTCCTCATTATCTTGCTGGAAGGTGTGCATATCCTGGTGCTGATGAAAGAATGGGATGACGTGATTTGCCAATATGGTATTCCTGTAGTAAAGGGCATTAACTCTTCCACGACAAACATGGAGCTCTGTTCGATGGTTATGACTGATGCCGCCCCACACAATGACAGACGCCAGACAGGGTAACAGCAAGTACCATCTTTTAACATCTTTTGGTATGACGCGGTCGGGGACCGAACCCCAGACCATCCGCTCTCCGGGCGGACGCTCTACCACTGGACCACGGAGGCGGTCTGATATTACTAGAATAATGCTCACAGCTCAACAAAACTCGCTTAATAATGTATTGGGAGTTACACAGTTACTCATGGAGACTCTCTCCCCGACAGGGATACATGGACCAGACCCGTTATGTTGCAACCCAAGGTACGTGGAGACTTTCATGGGTTTCGTAAACTACTTTCTTCCTCATCTCCACGCATATAATAATACTGCCAATTGACATACTCGTGTATATCCTACTAAGTCAACATTCAAATGGCTTCTTAGTTCAATATGACTATGCCAATACACATGTCAATCGGAACAGAACAACGAACTCTTATCATTACGGGAATTCTTTTTTCGCTTTTATATGGATATAGTTACGAATTCATTTCAATATTTCTTGCGTTTATGGCCTCGTGTAAACGTGTTAACAGGTTTTAACGTTTCTAACTCCACAAACGCTAAAACATATAAATTCAATTCATATGAATAAATACGTCAACAATAATAACTTGACAGACTGCTTATTTCACCATTAACACAAAAAACCAAAAGTACGAAATCGGGGACATCATTTAGCGCAATAATGCAACTCAAGCCCCGCCCATTCCATTATCGGCACATCAAGAATCAAAAGTCCGACAGTGGGCGTGATTTAATTATTGTTTGGTGAATTAAAACATAAGGACAAGGCAGATCTCTTGGTTAACCAATCAAATGCCATGGAATGACATGCAACGTATTTGCTATAGATAGCCTTGAAAACCTTTCTACAGGGCCCTTGGAACACACAAAGAACGACTTCTGGAGGATGATATGGCAACTCAACACCGCCAAGATTGTCATGGTTACTAACCTCATGGAGTCGGGGAAGGTCAGAATACATTATGTCAGCTTCTGGCAAAAAAATAATAATCAAGACGTCTCCAACCATGAAGTGATGATATCGACGACGTTCATGTACAAATATATTTTGGACTGCCGATACAGAAATCTTTACTCACCATGATATCAGCACATTAAGTATTATGAGCAAATAATAGTACTACTACATTAATAACCCTATGTATACATATATATATCATGCATTCTCTCAGTTGAAGTGCTACATGTACTGGCCATTCTGCAGCTCTGAGTCCACGATGTACGGCAGTATAAGTGTTCAGTGCGCGAAAGAGGAGGTCTACGAGACCTACACCCTCCGCTCAATGGCGATCTGGAAGGTAGGTGACCTACACCCAGCGCTTCGTGTTCATATGGAAGGTAGGTGACCTGAAACACCCGTCCGCCTCCTGGCCATTTGGAAGTTAGGTGACCTACACCCTCCGCTCCCTAAACACCTTGAAGTTAGGTGACCTACACCCGTCCGCTCAATGGCGATCTGGAAGGTAGGTGACCTACACCAAGCGCTTCCTGGCCATCTGGAAGTTAGGTGACCTACACCCTCCGCTCCCTGAACAGCTAGAAGTTAGGTGACCTACACCCTCCGCTCCCTGAACACCTAGAAGGTAGGTGACCTACACCCTCCGCTCCCTGAACACCTAGAAGGTAGGTGACCTACACCCTCCGCTCCCTGAACACCTAGAAGGTAGGTGACCTACACCCTCCGCTCCCTGAACACCTAGAAGGTAGGTGACCTACACCCTCCGCTCCCTGAACACCTAGAAGGTAGGTGACCTACACCCTCCGCTCCCTGAACACCTAGAAGGTAGGCGACCCACACCCTCCGCCCCGTGGCCTTTGTAACGTAGGTGACCATTTGGAAGGTTCCTGGCCATATGGAGGGTAGGTGACCTATTTTCTGGGCTCCCTGGACACCTGGCCTTCTGGAAGTTCGGTGACCAACACCCTCCGCTCCGTGGCAATCTGGATGACAGGTGACCTACACCCTCCGATTCTGACCATCTGCCATATAGTAGGTCGGGCAGCTTCAACCTCCAATCCCTGGCCATATACTCATTGGGTTACCTACACCTTCCATCCACTGGCCATATAGAAATTGGGTTACCTACAAACTCTACACCCTGGCGATGTAGGCGTTGGGTTATCTACGCTCTCCAACCCCTGGCCAGATAGTGGTTAGGTTACCTAGACCCTCCACCCCCTGGCCAGATAGTGGTTAGGTTACCTAGACCCTCCACCCCCTGGTGCTATAGTAGGCGGGATAGCTACACCCTCCACCCCCTGGTCCTATAGTAGGCGGGATAGCTACACCCTCCATCCCCTGTTCATGTAGTAGGCAGGATAGCTACACCCTCCACCCCCTGGTCCTATAGTAAGCGGGATAGATACACCATCCACCACCTGGTCCTATAGTAGGCGGGATAGCTACACCCTCCACCCCCTGGTGTTATAGTAGGCGGGATAGCTACACCCTCCACCCCCTGGTCCTATAGTAGGCGGGATAGCAACACCCTCAACCACCTGGTCCTATAGTAGGCGGGATAGCTACACCCTCCACCCCCTGGTCCTATAGTAGGCGGAATAGCTACACCCTCCACCCTCTGGTCCTTTTGTAGGCGGGATAGCTACACACCCCCACCCCCCCCCCCCCCCCCCCCCCCACCCCCCACCCCCTGGTCCTATAGTAGGCGGGATAGCTACACCCTCCACCCTCTGGTCCTTTTGTAGGCTGGATAGCTACACCCCCCACCCCCTGGTCCTATAGTAGGCGGGATAGCTACACCCTCCACCACCTGGTCCTATAGTAGGCGGGGTAGCTACACCCTCCACCCCCTGGTCCTATAGTAGGCGGGATAGCAACACCATCCACCCCCTGGTCCTATAGTAGGCGGGATAGCTACACCCTCCACCCCCTGGTCCTATAGTAGGCGGGATAGCTACACCCTCCACCCTCTGGTCCTTTTGTAGGCTGGATAGCTACACCCCCCACCCCCTGGTCCTATAGTAGGCGGGATAGCTACACCCTCCACCACCTGGTCCTATAGTAGGCGGGGTAGCTACACCCTCCACCCCCTGGTCCTATAGTAGGCGGGATAGCAACACCATCCACCCCCTGGTCCTATAGTAGGCGGGATAGCTACACCCTCCACCCCCTGGTACTATAGAAGGCGGGATAGCTACACCCTCCACCCCCTGGTCCTATAGTAGGTGGGATAGCTACACCCTCCACCCCCTGGTCCTATAGTAGACGGGATAGCAATACCCTCCACCCCCTGGTGCTATAGTAGGCGGGATAGCTACACCCTCCACCCCCTAGTCCTATAGTAGGCGGGATAGCTACACCCTCCACCCCCTGGTCCTATAGTAGGCGGGATAGCTACACCCTCCACCCCCTAGTCCTATAGTAGGCGGGATAGCTACACCCTCCACCCCCTGGTCCTATAGTAGGCGGGATAGCAATACCCTCCACCCCCTGGTGCTATAGTAGGCGGGAAGGCTACACCCTCCACCCCCTGGTGCTATAGTAGGCGGGATAGCTACACCCTCCACCACCTGGTCCTATAGTAGGCGGGGTAGCTACACCCTCCACCCCCTGGTCCTATAGTAGGCGGGATAGCAACACCCTCCACCCCCTGGTCCTATAGTAGGCGGGATAGCTACACCCTCCACCCCCTGGTACTATAGTAGGCGGGATAGCTACACCCTCCACCCCCTGGTCCTATAGTAGGTGGGATAGCTACATCCTCCATCCCCTGGTCCTAAAGTAGGCGGGATAGCAATACCCTCCACCCCCTAGTCCTATAGTAGGCGGGATAGCTACACCCTCCACCCACTGGTGCTATAGTAGGCGGGATAGCTACACCCTCCACCCCCTGGTCCTATAGTAGGCGGGATAGCTACACCCTCCACCCCCTGGTCCTATAGTAGGCGGGATTGCTACACCCTCCACCCCCTGGTCCTATAGTAGGCGGGATAGCTACACCCTCCACCCCTTGGTGCTATAGTAGGCGGGATAGCTACACCCTCCACCCCCTGGTACTATAGTAGGCGGGATAGCTACACCCTCCATCCCCTGGTCATATAGTAGGCGGGATAGCAACACCCTCCACCCCCTGGTCCTATAGTAGGTGGGATAGCTACACCCTCCACCCCCTAGTCCTATAGTAGGCGGGATAGCTACACCATCCACCCCCTGGCCCTATAGTAGGCGGGATAGCAATACCCTCCACCCCCTGGTGCTATAGTAGGCGGGATAGCTACACCCTCCACCCCCTGGTCCTATAGTAGGCGGGATAGCTACACCCTCCACCCCCTGGTGCTATAGTAGGCTGGATAGCTACACCCTCCACCCCCTAGTCCTATAGTAGGCGGGATAGCTACACCCTCCACCCCCTGGTCCTATAGTAGGCGGGATAGCAATACCCTCCACCCCCGGTGCTATAGTAGGCGGGAAGGCTACGCCCTCCACCCCCTGGTGCTATAGTAGGCGGGATAGCTACACCCTCCACACCCTGGGCATATAGTAGGCGGGATAGCTACACCTTCCACTCACTAGCCATATAGTACAAATTATACCTACAACCTATGGATCCGCCCCTAGCAATGTAATGCAAGTGAGCTCTCCGCACCGGTTGAAACGTTGCTGTTTTATGTCATTACAGGAAGGTACAGAGACAAGAATGATCAAGCAGTTCCACTTCACACAGTGGCCCGACCACGGGGTTCCCAGTGACACTTCAGCACTATTACACTTCCACAATGTAGTGAAGGACACGGCACTACCACTGTCAGGGCCATTAGTGGTTCACTGCAGGTAACAGATATTTATTCCAAATATCCATTTCACGTACAATAAGAAAAACGTATGTATCTTATTAGTAGACAAACACAACTTAATCGTTAACGATGGCATTGCCCTTAACTTGTGTGGCGGCAGCATATGCTCACACCTGTCGTCAGAATTGGTAACTTGCAATGATTCAAGGTTCTTGAATTAATATATTTGAAATAGTTCTTCGGTCAAATGAAGTATGGCATTGACGTTTGTTATCAATATGTACGATCCACACTTTTTACACAGTAATGGATTTGACGAATATGCAGGTTCGTTTTTGCTGAAGCAATGTATTGTGTTGAATATATGACACGTTTTAATTGAAAGCAACTTATTTTATTCTTTGTAAGACGTTTTAGAGCCACTTCTTGTTCCTTCATCAGGTGAATGGTGAAGCAAGAATGAGCTCTGAAATGACGCACATCAAAGAATTCATTGTGTTGCTTGTCCGACTTCTAAATGCCTATCAAAGTATTCATTGTGTTTCTTGCCCCATACAGTGCAGGTGTTGGACGGACTGGCACTTTCTTAGCGTTGGACTACTTACTCGACCAGGCGAGGAGCGAGGGTCGAGTCTGTATCTTCAACTGTGTGCAACACTTCCGTAGGGAGAGGATGAAAATGGTTCAGACAAAAGTTAGTTTATTACTGAAAGATTACTAGAATGTCTGACTGAAAGTCCAGCTAACTTATGACATAGTCTGCCTTTCTGGCGTTGCATCTGCAGATCCGCCGTCGTATAGCTGGAATATTGCTGAGTGTGGCGTTAAACAACAAACAAACAGCATTAATCCCAAATCAAGGGAGGTTATTCGAATAAAAATCCTTCGAGATATGTTAGTGGCATGCAATGTTCTTTGTGAAACAAGGAAGAGGTATCAAGAGTGTTTCACGTTTTTGTTCACGTTTAAAACCACATCACGCCTTAAGAATAATATCACGGGAATCCTTTGACCACATACGTTACACAAGATTTCTCGCCTGTGACACTGTTGGTACAACCAGAGGTAGAAGGTGACCAATGGTTATGCATGCAGCAAACATTGCTGTGACGCCCCTCTACAGGGCAAGGTCAACGGTAGACTATGTTTTTCTTCCCATTTTACTTCCTTAATATATGTTGACCCTAGTGTGCAGAAATTTAGCATAACTGTTTAGTCTCCACAATCGTTATAAAGTCAATAATATTATTACGTTACTTCTAACAGAAAACAAACGGGATAAAAATGTTCCAATGTTAATGCTGACATGGACTTTTAATTGCTGTCATTAACGACATTATCAAATGTTGACCATGTGTTTTACTTTGTCCTGACCCTATTAATATCGGTGCAGGATCAATATGCATGTTGTATTCCTGAAGTACAACCTTAACACTTTGTATGTTTATTCAAGAGACACGTTTAAATTTCGAAAGTTTGAGTTTGTGTGATGTATTTTCAGGAGCAGTATATATTCATACACAGCATTCTCCTGGATGCCTTGCAATGTGAACAGACCTTGACTCGCCCCATCGAGCCAGTACACATCCAGTGTGAGACATGCTGGAACCGGCTTAATAATACGCACAGGTGAGTGAGTGAGTGAGTGAGTGAGTGGGTGAGTGAGTGGGTGGGTGGTTGGTTGGGTGGGTGAGTGAGTGAGTGAGTGGGTGGGTGGGTGGGTGGGTGAGTGAGTGAGTGTGTGTGTGAGTGGGTTGGTGGGTGGGTGGGTGAGTGAGTGTGTGTGTGGGTGGGTGGGTGGGTTTGTGGGTGGGTGGGTGGGTGAGTGAGTGAGTGAGTGAGTGAGTGAGTGACTGAGTGAGTGACTGAGTGAGTGAGTGGAAGGGTGGGTGTATGGGTGGGTGAGCGAGCGAGCGAGTGGGCGAGTGAGTGAGTGAGTGAGTGAGTGAGTGAGTTAAATGCAAAATATTATACTGTACAGCTGATTTTGATTTTAGGGTCAATATGGACATTTCATCCATTGACAGTGATGAAGAAGATGTTCTGTATGAAAATGTTCCCCATCACTGGGCACGTCAGCTTCAACAAAGAAGTGGAGATGCGGCCTCTCTCCCCGACGTCTGTGACGTGGTCTGTGAAACAATGCCCTTGCTGCCTAGTGAAACAGACAATACAAGCGAGGAGAGGAGCCCGGAAGAGAAGACGGACGACGAGGGAGGAAGGATGAGTTGGGTGTCGCCTCTGTTAGGTACAAGTGACAGGGTACAGGAGACAGGTTACGAGTGACAAGTCACTGTTTCGTTCTGCCACATATTCCAGAGTTCCTTGAATACATATTTTGTTCATACTGTGCGTGTGTGGTGATAAGTAGGGCAGTGCACCGTATTGGTAAATTTCGTTTAAGGCCATCCATTTCTTGTATGTGTTTTAAAAACAAAATAAACTGATGTTGTGTAACTTATTCTATAACATTTTAAAGTTTTAAAACTTTTGCTATCAGTCTTTAATAATTTATTTATGACGTAGATTGAGTTACTTTGCTAACAAATATTTAATAAACATAGCTGAAGAAAGATCAATCTCATCTGGTTTTATTATAGACTTCAGTGTGAAAGACTGGTTTTTCTGAAGTGTAAAGTGATATTTTCATTGCAGTGAACCTAACACTTGATATTTCACTGCAGTAACACGTTGACGGAACTATTGTTATACAAGAGTTACCTCCCCTTAAATTGTCTCCCTTTAGTGTAAATGTCAAGCCCGTACACAAACTGTTGACGTCCTTTTTACGTTAGTTCCACATTCAACAAAGCAAAATAATGACAGATGGTCTTTTATGGAGTTAATAACACTTCTTTGCCGTTTGTTATTCTCTCGAAAATCTTTCGTTATAAATTGTACATTTCTCATTTAACTCGTCAATCGAGACTGTTCGTTTCGCAAAGCGCCATATTTGTTACTTGACCAGCGAGTATTCTTTCGCTTCCAACAGCGGTCTCCAAGTTTTCAAGAATATGTTTTGTTGATTTTGTATATAATCATATCTAAATGTATGATAAAGAATTTTCGTGACCCTAAATATTTTTGGATACTTTTGTATATATGTTTTAAGATTTTGCCAACACGAAACTACTTTTTAAATCGCAAATACAAGGGATGGTAAACCGTCCCTATGTGAAAGGTAGGGAGAATTTACGTTTCAAGGTTTAACATTTGTAATGAAATAATTTAATATTCCGGTAAATAACTGCACAAAAAGTATATAATAAATAGAATATTCCTTGTGTCTCGTGAAATATCACGTTTCTCTTATCGAGTGACTCGTACGCCACTCGTGAAAATATCTCCTTTCCCTGTCACTCGATGAGTGAGTGAGTTGGGTTTACGCCGCTTTTAACAGTATTCCAGTTATATCACGGCGTGTCAGCTTAATGTGGGAAGAAAGCCCGAAATGATGCAGGTCTCAGACGTTTACCACTTCGGTGAAACCCACGAGCACGGGTATGGTGCTGACAAACCTAGAAACATAATCGGGGTGAATAGGGATTCGAACCCACAATCATAGGTTTCTGGCGTGTCCAGGGGACGCAACTCTGCACAGCGAATCGCGGCGCCTTAAACGACTGGGCAACCCGTGCCCCCGTCACTCGATGAGAGATATATGATATTTCACGCGACACATGAAATATCCTCTACTTTTTGTTATCACACCGGGGCTTATTTTTTCACAGCGACGGGGGAATTTGATATACGAAAACTTATTATTACTTCACGTCGGAATGAAAGTTCACAGCTGGTGGGAGATGGGAATCTCAGACTAAATCCGGACATCACGTAAGCAAACGCGCTTAATATGATCAGTATCCATCGAGTGCATGAGCTGCCAGTTGCATTCAATGCAATATGTTCATTATTTTGGTGATATAAGCAGTTCTCTATTAAACCTAAATGTACAGATCAAGAAGGGTGGATGAATCTTTAACTTTCAATACAATTTGTACATAAATGGTGCTTATTAATGAATGATACTATGTTAATAAATGCTTACAATGAAACTTACATCGATAACTCCAGGTGAGGTGAGGTGAAATGGGGTTTAACGTCGCGTCCAAGACTATTGCACTTATATAGCGACGTGCATGTACGTGTGTGTGTTTGTGTGGCTGCTTGTACTAGTCCGGACTGATGCCGATATATAGTGCTAGCCCACTGAGATACCATGCCGCAGTTTACCATGAATACCCCACTCAGACACAGTATACTGATTCCGAGCCGACCAGTCCTTGTTTTAGCCGAGCGCCAGACAGGGTAACAACAAATACCATTTTTTAACGTCTTTTGGTATGACGCGGCCGGGGATTGAACCCCGGACCTTCCGCTCTCCGGGCGGACGCTCTACCACTAGGCCACAGAGGCGGCCCGACAACACCAAATCACATTTTATGTCCAGCGGTTATTCATACCTATGAACGTTTTTTTAACAGTTTTTTATATTAAACATGCTATCATGTTAGTTGTGTTGATTTTGGTTAATCGTGATCATTTGGTATTATGTTATTATGAGTTATTCCTTCACGACCTTTCATACGTACCATGATTGTTTTGCATAATTGGCCTGGTAAAGCAAGTACATGTATGCTAAAAACTGAATTTGTTTTAATACTGATATCTCGAACCTATAATCAAAGCATGTGTGCGCTTTATACTTTATATCTATATTTCGAACTTTAGCTTTTACGAAAGGTTACCTAGATTACTGACCATCCCGGATTCCAGTTTATTTAAGCTTGATATATTTCTTTTCATTCTTCTTTGAATAAAGTGCTATTAAAAAATTCCGTTTGACAGCTTGTGTTGTCTTTCAATAAATGTAAGAGAACCATTTTTATGATTATAAAAAAATCTCTGCATAACGTTTTATGTTAATCAGAGTAAGATGCTGAGAGTCATCAATGAACGAGTGAGTGAGTGAGTGAGTGAGTGAGTGAGTGAGTATAGTTGTATGCCGTTTTTAGCAATATCACGGCGGGGGACTTCACACACTGTACCCATGTCGGGAATCGAACCCGGTTCTTCGGCGTGACGAGCGAACGCTTCAACCACTAGGCTACCCGACCGCCCCCCGAGGTGACATTGACTGCAGCATATTGCAAATACTTAAAACACGCGGCACGGCAGCAGTTCAGTACTCGCTTATGTCCTGGACTGGGTGCTGGGGGCATTGTTTTACGCCGGTTTTAGATCTATCATGGCGGGGAACATCAGAAATGAGCTTCACGTATTTTAGCTAGAAAAGAGATTTTAAACAATATTTATCAACAATTTTATGTTTTAAACGTACTTTCCATGAAGCTTAGGAAACGGACCTAAAATATCTCTTGCTGGCGTGTAGGACTTTGAAAAGATATTTTTAAAAGCATTGGTATTAATCTGCGACTATGTAGCCTGGCGGAGGAACGTCTCTTAAAGTGCTAAAAGTCCTGTAAGTAAATATTAGATCGAATTTTTTAAATCGATCTCCCAGGGGTAAATCTCCAGGGCAGATCTTTTGCACAAAAACTCTTGATCTTGAAATATGTCTGACATGTGTATTCTGAGTCTGAAAACCCGTCCGGAAACTATCCCTTATATCACAAGAAGATAAATGTGTTTTCCGAGTGAGTGGCTACTGTATGTACAACGGGCTTTGTTCAGGGATTTCACTTGAAGTACGAGTGATGCAGGTCATAGACGTGTACTTCTTTGGTGAAACCTACAGGTACGCGTGTGGTGCTGACAAACCTGGAAACAAAATCAGGGGGCGGATCTGGGATTCGAACCCACAATTGTGTTTTTTAGGTGGAGGTGAACCGACACTAATGTTGTTCCTGTGAAACCGGGGTAGAATAGGTCTTCAGCAACCCTATGCTTGCCGTACAAGGCGACTATGCTTTTTGTAAAAGTCGACTAACGGGATCGGGTGGTCAGGCTCGCTGACTTAGTTGATACATGTCATCGTATCCTAATTGCGTGGATCGATGCTCATGATGTCAATCACTGGATTGTCTGGTCCAGACTCGATTATTTTACAGACCGCCGTCATATACCTGGAATATTGCTGCGTGCGGCGCTAAACAACAAACAAACAAACAAAGATAATTCAAGACGTCACAGATCACGTGCTGTTCTGGAGTGCTTACGTCAGAATCTCACTGAGACACTTTTTTAGCGAGCAAGACGTCCGGATCTTCCAGAAGAACAATTGTGGGATGAATACCCTAAAGGCAGTGATGTTCCTAATCCCCTCAATATGTTAAAACAAATATAATAACACATTGTTGGTCTATACACGTATATTCAATTTATTGCAAGTCTTTCTACAAAAGGTAACATGTAGATATAAATAGCAGTAGCAACAGCATAAACAATAGCGGAAAACAATCTCTTGCATTACAACCAGGATACGAAGACAACAATGTGATTTGATAGACATTCGTGTTTCATGGATGCCATATATAAATTCTGTTTGTGAAACAATAATGGCGGGTTAGGTTACTCCAGGGTACAAATTACTTGCTACGTTAGAGGCGACTAATGGGATCGGGTGGTCAGGCTCGCTGACTCGGTTTATGCCTGTCATCGTATCCCAATTGCGAGGATCGATGTTCATGATGTCAATCACTGGATTGTCTGATCCAGACTCGATTATTTACAGACCGCCGTCATGTGGCTGGAATATTGCTGGGTGCGGCATTAGACAACAAACTTGCTAAGTACTGACAGGGATAAAGCACGTCATGATAGAGCATTAAATGTGTAAAGTCTGATTATCAAACCCGCGGTATCTTTGAAGTAAGCTGTAAGAGAAGTCCCTTTTCATTCTGAAGACATCTGACACAAGGGAAGCAACTCATGGTCATACTTCCCATAACTGCACGGATAACACTGGTCAACTCCAAAATACATGTCCTTCCCGTTTATAAACCAGACTATACCTGTGTCTTACATAGGAAATACTGTCATCTGGAATACAATGGTAGATCTTGGTGCTGTTCACATTAACTTAGGAATGGTTTCCACTGAAATGTCGTCCATTTTCTGTGAAAATCTTATCCCTGAAAACAAATAAACACATCTAAAAACAACACTTGCGTTACATATATGTCCATTACTCGGTGCTAGGTGTAAACAGCTTCAAGTATTGGTTGATTGCCACTAAGGGAGACAATTGGTGAGACGAATTAGAGTCACATACACAATACGGCGCTTGAGTTTGTGAGGAGGCCAATTGCTGTGGGTGAAAGAAGCCTTGCCTTGTAAGTGAATGAGTATGGTTTTAAGCCACTTTTATCAATTTACCAGCAGTATCACGTCGGGGGACACCAGAAATGAGCTTCACACATTGTACGGATGTGGGGAATCGAACCCTGGCGTGACGAGCGAACGCTTTTACCACCATGCTACCCCCCTTGTCTGGGAAGACATGAAGCAGTCAGCATCGATTTGGTATGAATGTTTCCCTTCAAAATGTCAAACGTCAGAATAAACAGTCTCGAAACACATAAAAGGTAAATAAGTGATGAAAGCTTTTTGGATCAGTGGAAAACTATATGGAAAACCAGTGATGACTTCAGGCGTTCATGAAATGGATCAGCATGTTCTGCTTTGCCGCCCCTCGCACAGTTTTCATAAAAGAGAAGTTTTGTTTGTTGCCTAACGCCGCTTGTCCTGATCAGGCAGGTGACCAGAGGGATGACACACTGGCGGTTGAATGAAAGAGTTTCCGGAAACACAGATCTCAGATGTGGCTTCATTTGGGTTCTTACCCCATGTCATGAATACATGCTCATGTAATTTGCATATGAAAATGGCGAGTAACCGTTACATTCCTAACATACCACTTCCATACCACCATTACATCCCCAACATACCGCTCCTACATGTATATAACGATTACATCCCGCTTCTATATAAACATTACATCCCTAACATACAGCTTCTATAAAACCATTGCATCCCAAACATACCTCTTCTATATAACCATTACATCCCGCTTCTATATAACCATTAAATCCCGCTTCTATATAACCATTACATCCCGCTTCTATATAACCATTACATCCCGCTTCTATATAACATTACATCCCGCTTCTATATAAACATTACATCCCTAACATACAGCTTCTATAAAACCATTGCATCCCAAACATACCTCTTCTATATAACGATTACATACCGCTTCAATATAAATATAACATCCTCAACAGGCAGCTTCTATATAAATATTACATCCCCCACATACAGCTTCTATATAAATATTACATCCCAAACATGCCGCTTCTATATAACCATTACATCCCCAACATACAGCTTCTATATAAATATTACATCCCTAACATACCGCTTCTATATAAATATTACATCCCGCTTCTATATAACCATTACATCCCGCTTCTATATAACAATTACATCCCTTACATACCGCTTCTATAAAAATATTACATCCCCCACATACAGCTTCTATATAAATATTACATCCCAAACATGCCGCTTCTATATAACCATTACATCCCCAACATACAGCTTCTATATAAATATCACATCCCCAACATACCGCTTCTATACAAATATTACATCCCTAACATACAGCTTCTATATAAATATGACATCCCAAACATGCAGCTTCTATATAAAAATTGCATCCCTTACATCAGCTTCTATATAAATATGACATCCCTAACTTACAGCTTCTATATAAATATTACATCCCTAACATACAGCTGCTATATACATATTACATCCCAAACATGCAGCTTCTATATAACCATTACATCCCCAACATACAGCTTCTATATAAATATTACATCCCTAACACACAGCTTCTATATAACGATCACATCCCCAACATGCAGCTTCTATATAAAAATTACATCCCTTACATCAGCTTCTATATAAATATGACATCCCCAACTTACAGCTTCTATACAAATATTACATCCCTAACATACAGCTGCTATATAAATATTACATCCCAAACATGCAGCTTCTATATAACCATTACATCCACAACATACAGCTTCTATATAAATATTACATCCCTAACACACAGCTTCTATATAACCATAACATCCCAAACATAAGCTCCTGTATAACCATTGCATCCCTAACATGCTGCTTCTATATAACTATTCTATCCCTTACATACATCTCCTGTATAACCGTTAAATCCCTTTTCCCTAGCCCTGGCTACAGCTAAATTATCTCCTAGCATGTTGTCCGAGATAGGCAATATATTCCCCAACTGACCAAGGGAACCATACCTTCTGTTAGAATGAGACAGTGATCTTACCAGACCTTTTCTTCGCATATATAATAACATCCAGGTATGGGCATTCCGTTAAAACGTGAAGCTATGCTCTTGGTGTAGGCGCCCATGTTCTCAACGTACAACCAGTCCCCGTTCTGCAGCTCGGGTAGAGAAAGGCCCTTCTGTACACAATCAAGGCTGTCACATGTCGGACCCCACAGGCTGGAGGTGAAGGTCACGTCACTGGAGGGCGCCTGTTACGGAACCAATTGGATATTACTGGGGAATTGATCGTTGAATATTATTGGAGTAGGGGTGTTTCCAGGGGCAGGATGGTTTGAGACGGATTAGTCAGCACTTCGAGACATACAATATATTTCTCTGAACGCAGCTAAGGGTTGCTGGATTGGTGGGGGATTAAACTATAAGGTTTCAAACACTGTAACCATGTGAAGAAGTTGTTCGGGGCCGTTGGCGTGACGAACAAATGCTTGGCTGCCCAAGTACCACAAAATGAAAAATATGTGTTGTGTATCCGATATCACCTGTGTTCCCTTTTCGCTATACCCTGCCCTTACTTTCAGCTGTGGAGGTAGAGTGTTCTTAATGTATGTATATGACAAACATGTATTGAAATACCAATATTGTTAATAAAACAAATGTTGTCTCCGCTTCATCAACTAGTTGAGATAATTCATAAAGCTTGATTTCAAATATGCGTATATGAAGGGGTACAAAAACCGGTTTGCACACTTTGTTAATCCACAAAGCAGCATCGTGCTACACAAGCCCAACACAACTCAAGCCCCACTCACTTTTTTCGTCAGCGACTAAGGAAACCAGAAAGGAAACCAACAACTGGTAGTGGTCGAGGCCTAATTGTTTTCTCTCTTTTTTCTCTTCTTGGGCAGGGGGAGGTATGGAAACATGTAATTAAACATACAAAATAACTTTTAGAGTGAGCCAGTCAAATACCAAGGAATCACTATTTGTTTAGATCGCAATAAATCGAGTTACATTGTACCCATATCTACAAGATGAATACAAAGGAACAAGATGAATGGAATCTCTCGAACATCCGGGTCAGAATTGATCAAAAACACATGCAAAGACAAGTCAATTGTTCACTAGAAAAAACACAGGAACATATGGTACAAGTCAAAATAGGGAATTGTAGCGGATATCAGTTTTGTCAGATGGGTCAAATTTTGTTCAGATTTAAGTTTTTTGGAAAAGAGCATGATCTAGTGTACCTGAAAAGAGTGAAATGTTGACACTAAGGACCGGAGCTGCTGCTCGACATAAAGGGAAAGCTGACAATTGGAAAGTTGAAGTCATCCTTATCATGCAGTCTTGTGGAGGGTGTTTTGTCACTCATAGATCTAAAGATGAAACAGATGAGGCGGTCTCACGGGTCTCCTTTATTTCTAGTGCAGGTGGATACATTCAGTGGAAGGGGATTGGCTATTTGATGGTTATTGAACGGTATCAGATCATCGATATACCTGAAGTAACTTCTTTACCAAAGTACCTTGTTTTGACTTTGCCAATCTGAGCAGAAATTCCTACTCATATGCATAAAGAAACAGATCCGCAAAAAGGAGAGCACAATTAGTGCCCATGGATGCTTAATTGTCAAAATGTCTTACCCCCTAAATGCACATGCTTGTTACCAGCGCTTTTCTTAAGAGCCGACTAACGGGATCGGTAGAGCAGGCTCGCTGACTTGGTTTATGCATGGCATGGTATCATCGTATCGATGATCATGATATCAACCACTGGATTGTCTGTTCAGACTCGATTATTTACAGAGCACCGTGATGTAGCTGAAGGATTACTGTGGCTTTAAACAACAAACATACAAACAAGATGAATGGAAGTGGAATATAGATGTAATATCTACCTTTACTAATTTAGGGGATATGTGCATGCCTTCGAAGATAATGACGTTGAATGATCCGAATACACCGTCTGTGAGGTAGTACATGAAGGTTGGTTTGTTGTCACTTGACGTCTCCGACTCACAATTGTTCTCTAATGATAGAAAGAACAACACCAATGAATAAGAAATTGCAATACATACGATAAATTGTATATTTATGTACTTATCCTATTTCACACTATGCATTTCTTCTCTTCTCGATCCTATAAACGTGCTTGAACAAAGTTTCCAGCTTCAATAAAACATTTCCATCACCACCGTCACCACCTAGACAAACTGGGTCACAGATGACTCTCCTGCCAAGCGACACACACTGAACAGGTGATCACCCCAGCCACCTCATTCTCTTTCTGGAGCTAACAGGCTGGTCGGTGGGCATATAGCATGTGCGATAGGATAGGTATAGTAAAATTTAAAAATCTCACATTGTGCATTTACCCTACGGCTTGATGATGGGGCGCAGATACCCTATCCCGCAGGAGACAACAACGGGGAGACATACACAAGGAAGCTGGTGCAAAACAGTGAAAAAACAAATTGTGTATAACACTGCCTAGAGTCGTAAAACAAGAACTCGCGAGCAGGAAAACACACCACATAAGTGATACGATACTGATACGTTAATCAAACGAAACAAATGAGATGCACTACATATTTTCACGTATGCCCACATTAACGACTGCGTAGCTAATACAGCATACGATTTGTAATCGATTCGTAAGGACTCCTACCAATCGATTCAACAAGGCAGGACATATCACAGGAGAAAAGGATATATGGACAATGGAGTGCGCCTGCTCAGCATCTCTTTTAGCGAAATCGTCAAAGCTACCGATAAAACCCGAGGAACGATCCACAATATTCACAATAGGGATCTCTGAACCAATCACCGTCAGCACATGTACCAGACAGATGTGAGTGGAATAACCGTTCAGGACACTGTTAAAAATGGCTGCCACCTGTGGACACTTCCTTGATGAAGACTGACGTCTCTTCAGACGAGTGAATCCACCCTCCAACAGGGAGCCCGTAAACTGAAAAATAAATAAACACAGGAATGAAAATACCAAGATGTTATTCTGCATATACACAAAGCGAAGAACATCAAACAGGATCGGGTGTGAACCTCAATTATATACCCTTCTGTGCAGTTGAGAATAGTTGTGCCAGCACAAATGCATGTAAGCCTTGGATGTCTGTAACGAAGATATCACGGGGATAGTAGGAAGTGAAAACCATGTTCGGATCCCGCTAACACGTGCAGCAGTGCCAAGGATCAGTAGAAAATGGTCTTGAAACTGATCATCTAAAAGTCTTTGTCAGCAAGTAAAATGACACAGAATGTTAAGATTCCATGTGGGAGGCCAGAAACAGGATGTCGTAAAGATGAAGTGTTTTGAGCAACTTTTGCAGCAGCTGGGAGTGAGGCTGCAGGAGGTCGTCTCATAGGGATGGGCTTCACACATTGTACCCATGTCGGGAATCGAACCCTGGTCTTCGGCGTGACGAGCGAACGCTTTAACCACTAGGCTACCCAACCCCCCGGAAATTGGTGGAAGCTACTTTCTGAAGGACCAGAGATAGAACAGTATGGTCCCAAGCTTAAGGATCGAGGATGGGAGAGACGAACCAGGATAGCTGAGCGTTGAACCTTGTAGGAAACAGATTGACTTCTGGGACAGGTTAGAGTTGGCAGATCCACCTGAAGATCGATGGAAGGAGACACCATTCTGTTGGTGACAGCCGGTCAGATCACGATGGGGAGTCGGCTATCACGTTGGAGATCACTTGAATATGCCTCGCTCGATCCTAAATGTTTAGGGAGTTGATCTGAAAGGAGAAGTTGAGTAGGAGTGACATCGACTTGGTGGAAGCCATCTTCTTGATGAACCAGACGACCGAGCTGTTGTCCGACTGGATCATGAGGTGTGATGAATGAAGGAGCTCTCTCTGATGGGAGATTGCCAGGATGACTGCCTTGAACTCGAGTTTGTTGATGTGAAGTGGCATCTTTCCATTGAGGAGCGCTAATCCTGAGAGGAGCAATGGTTGTGAGTTGAGCCTTGATCCTTAGAGGAATGCTGATCCTTAGATGAGCGTCGATCCTGAGAGCGCTGAACTCCCAAATGCTGATCCCTGTTCTTAGAGCGTCAATCCCTAGAAGAATGTTGATCCTTGGGGGAGCACATATCGTTTGAAACCCCAACCTCCGATTGCCGATCCTCATCGTGAGAGCGACGATCATTGAAAGAGCAATTCTGTGAACGTGAATCCCGCGATCGCCAATCCTGAGAACATCCAGAACTAGGGATCGGCGAACTTGTGATCGGCGAACTGGTGATGATGGGTCATAGACGATGAGTGGGAGTGAGCTTCACTGTGCCAAACTGGAGGATCAGACGAGCTCAAATGAACAGCAAAGGAGGACGTCTGGGTCGTCCGCAGCATCAGCAATAGTAGTCATGTGAGAAGAGGACAAAAAACGACTCATCTCAGATTCCGTTGGAGCAGGACAGGAAATGACTGACTGTGAAGGCAGGGTGGGATTCAACGATCCTTGAAGAAACCAAGATTACATATTCTTGAACCAGCCGTCAATGTTGCTGCCAATTTAAACCCCCAAATCCTCAGGGATGGACTGCTTGTAAAGAACAACATGGATGTCATCCGACGAATAAGTATCTGATAAACTATCGTCGTTAGAGCTGATTCCTGAGGCTTCACTACCTGCTTCTAAGGTTTCCTGGTAGTTGTCTTCTCAGCCTTAAAGGGGAAGTGTACACGCAAAAATCACTTTCTTTCTTTTTCTAAACAAAACGCAATTTTAGAATTAATTAGTATCTGTGTTTGAAAATATACACTAATTTTTTTTCACAGTGAAAGTAGGAAGCTCACAATAGTGTTAAAATGATATGCCGTTATAAGGCCTTCGTTTTACGAGCGAAATAGGCCTGAGTTATCCCCCTTAGATTATGACGTAATTGGTGCCAATTCAACAGGGTCCCTGTCTATTCTCAACGCAAAAGATATCAAGGACCAGTTTGCGGTAAAACAACATGGTCTACGACACACTCCGGCGCAGTAGTGACTCAGCATAACACAATTCTGGCTGGCATCTGAGACGCTAGAATCACAAAACTGTACCTACACCACGTGAAGCGGCTCTAACAAAGCATGATGACGTCATAATGTTTATCAATTGGCACCAATGACGTCATATTGCAAGGGGCATAAGCCATGGTGTTTTTGTTATGGAAATAGAACACTTGGTAAATGTGAAAAATATAAATCGTTTTAATGCAAAAAATATGTTAATTAAATATGTTTTTATATTTTTGTCTATGACACTTCTATGTTAACACTTTTAATGTGGAAAAAGTACAAGAAAAATTGGTTCATTTCCGTGTGAACTTGCCCTTTAATGAGTTTACACTCCGAATCCGACATTTTGACATTTGACACCGACATTTGTGCAAGTAGGTACAGTAGGCTTCATCAAAGAGATGGACTTAAAGGGGACATCGTGAAGAAGAGCTGCTGTGATACCGACAGTCACAACACTTGTCGTGTGGGTTGGAGGGTGAAAAACTAAGTCACCAAACGAGCCAGGCGATGTGTTTCTTGGTCGTCTATGATCTCTTAGTGTAACCACCTTAACGACAAATATGTATGCTTTAACACACAAGCAAGTCACCACCGTGTTGCGGTTACAGTTATGTGAGTTAAATTTTAAATCACATCGACCACGAGTGTGGAACTTAGAAAGATAATGCGGTGGCTGGAGTGATGACTTGTTCAGTGCGTGTATGTCGCTTGGCGCTAGAGTCGTGCGTGACCCAGTTTGTCTGGGTGGTTGACCACGCTGATGCTGGGGTGTGTTCGGATGAATTGTTTGAAGCTGGAAACTTTGTTGAAGCACGTTTCGCCAAAGGATCGAAAAAAGACAGAAAATGCATAGTGTGAGATAGGATAAGAATATTGAGAAGAGATCGGTTCGTTTTACTCAGTGGCGGGTGATTGAATCCTAAACGTGTGAAATATATATTTCTGACTTTATTTCACAAAAATTGCTTGCTAATCATTACTCAATACATGCCTGTACCTGAGTTCTTATGATCTCTATATTTTGAAAGGCATTTCCTTTTTCCGATCACACTAGTCAGTAAGGTGAAGGCTGATGATGCAAAATACCGCCCTGGTTCTGCTATGACCTTGACATTGGAGCTGACGGGGAAGTACTTGTCAAGAGACTTGTTCAAGGCGGTGGCAACCTGAAACAATCAAGCCCTGGATTTTTGGGGATAACAGCTTCTTATATTCTTTGTCAAGCCGTTTCAGAGCAACTTTGTGTCCCTTTATAATTTACCCGTTGAAGAGGCAAGTAGTAATAATGAAACGTCGTACAAAGTATTAAAAGAAGTTGTCCTCCATGGAAAGTGTCATATATTCATGTTCTTCCAACTTCTAAATGCCTATCAAAAACTTCAAGAACAGATACGTGTGGCAGTATCACCATGAACGTCCAGATGTTTTACATTCACAAACTGCTGACAAGATTCCAGGAGTAATGGGGCGAACGTTTGCCCATTTTGTCAAAGGTCCAGAATCGAGTCCTACATCATACAGGAGGTTTGAGTAGGTGAGCTAGCTTAAACGTCGCCCTAAAAATATTTTCAATCTTCACAGCCTGTCAGGTTAATGTGTGAGGAAAGCCCATGATGTAGGTTGTAGACGTCCATCATTTGATGAAATCCACGGATGAGTTTATGGTGTTTACAAATCAAGAATCAAAATCGGTTTTCGAACATTTTTGCACCCATGACTGAGGGCAAGACAAAAAGGACGCAACTCTGTAGACTGAACATTTGCGGCACCACCTGTACCCAAGGTCAAGGATGTTATACCTTTTCAAACGAAAGGGGTGCTCCTTTGTGACCGTAGAAACCTCCGCCAATGTCAATAATATTTGGTGTGAATCCTAATTTCTCTGCTATAGCAAACACATTGTGTGATCTCTGTAGCGAGGCAGCAAAAGCTTCCGGGTCCTCTGCTCCACTCCCAACGTGGAAACTGCGGGTATAATTAGAGATAGTCAAAGATTGATCATGTTTTTAGTGCGGACCCCTTGTTCTGTCATTATAGTCAGCGTATATAGAGGTACATAACTACAATCCCATCATTCCTAAATCCGGGCATATGTTAAACTGGACAATTTCAATGGAACAGAACACTGTGGGTAAAAAAGGGACTCGTTATACAATTATTAACTCTACACATAGTAAACAACAGTTACTTTTACACGGCTAAATCACTTGAATGCAGCCCTGTGTGCATGTCCAACCTTCGGTTTCGGAATATCCCATGGATACTTGAACTAAAGTCAGCGCTTCTAGCAATTGGTTGGTTGGTTGGTTTGTTGTTTAACGCCGCACTCAGCAATATTCCAGCTTTATGAGGTCTGTAAATAATCGAGTCTGGACCAGACAATCCAGTGATTGACATCATGAGCATCGATCCACGCAATTGGGATCGATGACATGCATCAACCATGTCAGCGAGCCTGACCACCCGATCCCGTTAGTCGCCTTTTACGACAAGCATGGGTTGCTGAAGACATATTCTTACCTGGAATCTCCACGGGTATTCTAGCAATTGGAATTCTGTGAAATAGTGTACAAATCAGCATCTGAATGAGTGTCTACATTGTCAAGTGGATGTAACCAATGTACTTGTTATCCCTATTTCTGTCCATCATACATGTTCTAATGAAGCGTTGGTGCCTATATTCAACAAGATATTGTGTCAGAATATCAGAATAATCATGATAATATTAAAACAAGAACTTGCGTAATATATTTGGATACTCGATTAATACCGAGTTAATATAAGGTTAACGTAAGACTGAAAGCTTATAATTCATTGTAAATAAATATCAAAATGATATATTATCATTATAATGAGCTGTTCTGTGTAGCAAGGTCTAGATGTGTTGCATCTATTGTATGCTGTATTTCGTGATATGTTGTGGAAAAAAAGGCTGGTTGATAAAATTACCGTTTTGTCCAAAAGAGGAATGTTCTCACCTAACTCCGACAACATTTAGACCGAGAGTTTTTGCTGTCCTCAAGATGCCGCTGACGTCACCAGGGTGGCAGCCAAATTTCTCGGACAGGTCGTACAGAACTTTGTAGTTAGCTGGGGGGACAATCCGTAGGAGGAGTCTGGAAGAAACTTGATGTCAGGGAGGGATGGATGGGTAAGAGGTGCTAGTGAGGTGAGGTGAGGTGAGGTGAGGTGAGGTGAGGTGAGGTGAGGTGAGGTGAGGTGAGGTGAGGTGAGGTGAGGTGAGGTGAGGTGAGGTGAGGTGAGGTGAGGTGAGGTGAGACGCGACCGGGGATCGAACCCCGGACCTTCTGCTCTCCGGGCGGACGCTCTACCACTAGACCACGGAGACGGTCAGATGCTAGTGAACTAGCAACAGAAAGGCCATGAAAAATCAAATAACGTGATAAGTCAAGTACAGTAAAGTACAGTCTACATAATGCGAAGCCATATATCAAACCTGATGAAACTGGGACACATTTACTCTGTCGTTACGTTATCCTGTGTCAGATTGGGTTACATGTTTCAACTGTAGTCATGGTGTGCAGAAATGGGAGGAGACGTTGCCAGTTTATCGAAACAGCAGGCTCCGCGATAACGTGGCCTAAACAGGCTGCTGAGCTTCTTCAGAGTGGAAAGAGCTTTAAGTATGTAAAGGAGGTAATCGGATAGTAGTCAGAAACAGGGAATGAATTGATACCATTAGTGTTCATATTGTTTTAAACATGCCCACGTAGAAAGGAAAATAATTTTATTGTACCTTTAGTTTGTTTACCATTTTTATAAGGACATGATAATGTGTTTCCGTTTTCTTGGTGTACCATGTATAACTCTCTGTTCAGTTCTTGACAGTGGTTTGTGTACACTACGATTTGGGAACTTCTGCATAGGATACAACACAATTATTGGTGACACTTGACTTGCGGGCGTGGAACAATCTAACTGTATAATAATACTCAAAGGAGTTGAAGATTGCTTTCATGACTACAGTTAATCTCGGCTGGTGGGTATTGAAACGCACATTCTTCAATTGTTGATGTCCTTAACAGGCGTTGGTGATTCCTAGAAACAAACTTTATACAGATTCCAACCCCTAAAAACTTATTACACAACATTTACAGCTTACCTTATGCCAGTCATGTTCTTATTCACCGATATGAAATAATATACTTACTCAAATGTGGAAGGCTCATAACAGAGATTGCAAATTGTAACAACCTTGCTCCATTTGGACAAAGTAAATCAAGTCATCTTACATCAGCTGAGGATTGGTTTCCACGTTCTGGAGGTCTTGTAACGTCAGTTTCCTATACAGCTAGAATACTTACTAGACGACATCATCGTCTAAGACACCATAATTCCTTGTGCAGAGTTTGTCAGCACCAAATCCGTGCTTGTGGGTTTCACCGAAGTGGTAAACGTCTGAGACCTGCTTCAGTTCGGGATTTCCTCACTAATTTAGCTGATGTGACAAGAATACAGTTAAAAGCAGCTTTAAACCCAACTCAAACTCTCATACGCAACAGATAATCTAGATGTTTTAAGGGTACCTTGCACCTGGATACGTTGACTTGACTTTGTAGAGTTCATCTTCATTGTCGAAAGTCATGAGATCTATGTTGTTCTTTACTGCATACTCAAGATGGGAAATCTGTTTGCATGGGTTGGCATACACTATCCTGTCTGCGGCCACTCCCATTTGTAATACCATCTCCATCTCAGACTGTCAAAAAATATATTGTTCAGATTGAACTTTCATTATTATAATAACAGCATTTGTCTTTTTCTGTAGTTCCGAATAGTTAAAAAAGAAGAAAAGATGTTACATTAAGTCCAAGGTCAACGGATCAGTATGTACTGGAAATATCATTCTCAGATCCATGTGGAAAATACACCAGCTGGTGGTTACGTCTATCAATGTTCTGCATTTATGTCATCTCCCAATCCTACTGACGTAATGATAATACTAATAATGGGTGTACTTATATGTTGCTTGCCTCCATACTCCCAAGCAATGGATCGATGTGCACTCAATGTTCACTATTTGACAGTCGTTCATTTTCATGCTCATGATATAGTCGGAATCGTGCAATCGACACTGTTTTCAGCAGATATTTCTTGTCAGTATGGGAAGGATTTGGTCGTATATATTAACCTAGTCTCCTTTAGATTTTGAGGAAGTACCTTGCTTGCACAGTCGAATCCGGTTCCCAGTTCAGAAAGAACACGAAGCAGTAATGGATCAGGGTTACACTTGATAGCTGCAGGGGAAAAACGTTGCACATAAATAGAAACAATTGCATCAAATACACAAAATGTACTATATGGTGTTTTGAGAAATAATGTCAACTGAAACATGGAATCAGAAAGTTTGAAATGTGTTGGGTTTTTTTCAAATTTAATGAAACAAAATGTCTACAACAGACAGATACAAGGTCAAGCTGATTGAAACATATTTTCAGTTATGTCACAGCCTGTCAGTGGGAGAAAGTGATGGCTTAGACGTTTACCACTTAGGTGAAGGCCGCGAACACAGGAATGGTGCTGTTGCTACTAAAAACGTTATGACGGCGAATCTGGGATTAGAAATGTTCGATAATATGTTCCTGGCTCACCGATGGGACGCCTTACAGAGCCATCGAGTACCGGGCCATCCGTTCCCCAAAGTAAAATGAGAAATGGTGAGCAAGAGTTAAATAAAAGGGCAACATGTCTACCTTGCTATGCCTGTTTAACCAGACAGATGAACAAATAATTGTTGACTGTGTGATCAGCAAATAAAAGCGACAAAACTCTTTACATATTCATAATAAATCTGGGGTAAAAACAGTCGATTGTATTATTCCGACTATATCATGAGCATGTCTTTATGAATCACTATCAAATAGCGATGATACCACGTGTTCGCGAAAAGGTAAGCGTATCCTGCCCCACCGGTGGCACTCATCAAAAACACATGCGAAAGCTTAAGGAAACTCAACTGCTCTCATGGAAAACATAGGAACATATGGTGCAAGTCAAAATAGGGAACTGCATCGGACATCATTTTCGTCATTGATGAATCAAATTTGGAAAGGTCTTCAACATGTCGACCATAAAACGTTTTGATAGCTCAACTGAGGCCTTGAACGTTGTAACCTTGATCAAACAACTTCTGATCAAGAGTTGTATGACATTAATTGAAATCTTGGTGGAAAGAGCATGCTCGACTGTACCTCAAAAGTTGTGAAATGTAAACACCAAGCCGGAGCCGCTGGAATATTGCTCGACATAAAGGGGAAAGTTGACAATTAGAAAGTTGAAGTCATCTCTTTTGCCATACGGTCAAGGGTAGTGTGTTTTGTCACTCTGAATCTTTATGCATAGATCTTAGTATGAAACAGATAAGCGATCTCACTGGTCTCCTTTATTTCTAGGTCAGGCGGGTAAATCAGTGGAAGGGAATTGTCTATTTGATTGTTAGGAACGATATCAGTTCATCGATATACCTGAAGCTTAAGTTAAACTTCTTTACCAAATTACCTTGTTTTGACTTTGCCAATCCGAGCAGAAATTCTGATTCGTATGCATAAAGAAACATGTCAGCAAGAAGGAGAGCACAATTGGTGGATGAGGATGCCTACTTCTTTTTTGCTTTCGTTTTGGACAACAATTTGACCTGAATCTCGTAAGATAGATATGTAACTATATCTGTGGTCACCACGTTTGTAACAAAAGCCTCATGGAAGTTCTTAAAGTTTATGATGTGGGATAGTGGTATACAAAGTTGTACAAAGTTGAAAAAAGTTTTAAAAGCATTGAACCTGGTTTTTTTCTGCGATTGTAAAAAGTCCAGCAAGTTTTGAAGACTCTTCAAGGTATTAATTCCACTTGTCTCAAATAATTTGGGGGAATATAGCGAAAGTCCTTCCTTGATTGTATAAAGATTTGTTCGTGCCCTTACCCCCACCACATGCAAGGTTTACATACTATACGTGTAATTACCGTAGAATGGTTCCACCCGTGGCAATAATCTCTGCCAACGTCGATGGTTGCTGACGACGTCACCGACATCCATAACATAGAAAGCGTCGTCAACTCCCTGCAACGTAGACGTCCACATATATATTGTCATAGCTGAGCCATGAGGCTTGTGCATAGTTTTCAATTAATTCCCAGATCTTGAGTTGTTCCAGGGGAAGATTTGATCATAAAATCTTGGCCATTATCCGATAGTGTAATATAAACACATATGGGTTTTGTCCCATATGAGTAATACCTTACACTTCGAGGTTGTATTGGCCGATACACCATGGACTCCATGTGTATAACTGTCGTGTTGTCCAATTTGGGCCTATTAATATGAATTCTTTTCAGAATTTTATTCTCTCTTGTATTTTATACGGAACCAAAAAGCACTGTCCAGCCACAAAATTAAAATAACAACAATTCATTTTTTGCTCTGAATGTTGAATAACAGACACGATAAATGGGATTCGACGTTTTTAAGTACTGACACAAAATGACACATGGGAGGTATTTGGCTGATAATCAAAGATAACGCACTCGACTTCCTGAATTAAAGATTATATCTCGCGAGTGAAATTAACGTTTTAAATCCCTCGCCAAAGACCAAGACAGTTAACGTTAATTTCCCCCGGCACATACAATCCCTCGCCAAAGACCAAGACAGTTAACGTTAATTTCCCCCGGCACATACAATCCCTCGCCAAAGACCAAGACAGTTAACGTTAATTTCCCCCGGCACAAACAATCCGTAATTCCTCGTGGCTCCGAAGTTATTCTCTGTTATTCGACAATACCTTCAGTTCTCTGGCGTTCACTGCTGTGGCAACTCTGTCTGCTGTTGACTGTTTGGCAGGCACCATGTGGACATGTTGTCTGTTCATGGTCAGCTGTGTTGGAGATCGGGAGAGATAGAGGTCCGGTTGTCACACCCGTGTTGTGTACTTTAGCGGTGATGAGCAGCAGAACAATATAACTCTGTATTTGGGGCAATAGAAAAAGCTGATTAATTTGTGCACGTGTCACATTTGCATTTCTACCTCGGAATTATGTATTGCTGACGTCAACCACCAGCTGATTCGAGGCTGATAGGGACTACATAATTAGCATCACGTGTTGCAATTAATAAGCCATTGTTGCCCTCACTGAAGCGTCAAATCTGAAAATAACCTCCACATGTCCACCATGAAATTTTACTAATGCCTTGGATGTTGTAACCCTGATCAAACAACTTTTGACCAAGAGTCGTATGGCGCTCTTTGAAATCTTCGTTGAAAGTGCATGCTCGATTGTACCTCAAAAGTACCGGAAATGTAGATACCACAGACTGGGGCTGCTGGAATATCGCTCAAAATAAAGAGACTGTAGAAACGTTGAAAGTTATCCCTCTTGTCAAAAAGTCTTTGTTTGGATATTAGCACGTGATTGGTTATGTTAAGACTCGTGTGATACATATTTGCGTTTTTTGAAACTTAACGTTTCCTACGCCTCCTCAAATATAAAACGTCAACACCAGAGAATAATGAGTCTCGATTATCCACCGAAAGAGATTCCATAAGGCGTAAACGGAAACACATACATGACGTCAGTTGAATGTTTGTTAGGCTTGTTTCTTGTTTACGGTGAAGTCGGCAATCTAACCTTTGTGGTCTACTCGTGCTCAAATAGGCAACAAAATACCGGGCTGCAAAACTATAGCTGACGTCATGTCCCATCATTTCGATAACACAATTTCTTTACAGAATAGACAGGCCATAGGATCTCAGTACAATATATGAGGGGTGTCAGGAACATTCTAATTTTTACCACTTGACAGTTTGCATGTACAAAGTACAGCCCATTCCATAATTACAGGCTGCATTTGAACCAAATAAACAGATAGGCAGCATATTTCTGTAGGTATCAAAGTGACTAGGTATTGTCTCTTTATGAAAATGGACAAAACAGGCCAGGCTACCGCGCTGTCATCATGTATCTCCAACTGAAAGGGCCAACTCCCCCCAAAGCCAGTCATGTGGACGTTGTACCAACTTTAGAGGATGATGCTCCACTTTAAGAGATTGGCTGTAGAGATCAAGAGGGGAAGAGAAAGCCTTGAAGCCTTTCAACTTTATCACTGAGGAAAATGTTCGTAAACTACATGATATGAGTATAGATGATCGGCGAGACACCATGCATCTCATAGACAATATTAACGGCATAAGGGAGGTGAGAACATTGTGAGGAATGAACTGGGGATGGCAAATATTTCAGCATGCTTCTGACTTGAAAAGGAACGTTCATCGTCTCTTGTGAGAATTTACGTCGTTTTGAACCATACCCAGCTGATTTCTGTTGAGCGATTGGTAAGTATGGATGAGTGTTGGGTTCACAACTATCAACCATAGACTAAACAAGAGTCATCGCAATGGAAACATCTAACATCTCCTCCTCAATAAACAAGACAAAGTCTGTTGCATCAGCTGGCAAGAGGTGGGTTCGAATTCTAGGATTCCAAATGAATCCTACTGGTGGACTACCTCCCGAAGGGTCAGGGAATTAATGACTAATAGTATGCTGGTGGCAACTTCGTTGAGATATCAAGACTACTCGTGGAAAACTAAAAGTATGTTGTTTCATCAGGACAATGCATCTGAACACAGCTCTGTTGTCGCAATGGCTGTAATGCATGACTGTGGCTTTGAACCCACTGAACATATGTATTTGTCACCGCCACATTTCCAAGTCTTCTCAAACTGGAAGAAAGAAAGGCCTGGCGATTTTATGCAAATGACGATGACGTCATTTCTGCTATGGAGGACCTTGACACCGCCAGGAGGAAGACTCACGTACTCCATCATCGTTGGTAGAGGTGTGTTGACCTCTGAGGTGATTATGTTGCTATAAAAATAATCTGCAAACAATTCCATTAATGCAGTCCATCATAATCAGGCTCAGAACGTGTATGCCCTCATCGAAAGAGTTGTTTGTTTGTTTGTTTGTTATTTAACGCCGCACTCAGCAATATTCTAGCTATATGACGGCGGTCTTTAAATAATCGAGTCTGGACCAGACAATCCAGTGATTGACATCATGAGCATCGATCCACGTAATTGGGATCGATGACATGCATCAACCAAGTCAGCGAGCCTGACCACCCGATCCCGTTAGTCGCCTTTTACGACAAGCATAGTCACCTTTTACGGCAAGGATGGGTTGCTGAAGACCTATTCTACCCCGGAATCTTCACGGATGTGAAAGAGTGGTACATTTCTTTCTTGGAAATGTTAGAGTAGACCTCGGTCAGGTTTTGATACAAATATATGGAATCTGTGTTTGACTGGACAAAGTGTGAGGCTTGAGGGAAATGAAGTTTTCCTTAATGAACATAGATCCGACTAGGTTATTAGTAACGTATTCACCACAGTAGCAAAGAATTCGTGTCATCTTTACCATTACATGTGTCCCGTGAAAATTCCGGGTTAGAATATGTCTTCAGCAACACATGCTTGTCGTAAGAGGCGACTAACGGGATCAGGTGGTCAGGCTCGCTGACTTGGTTGATACATGTCATCGTATCCCATATGCGTCGATCGATGCTCATGATGTCAATTACTTGATTGTCTGGTTCAGACTCGCTTATTTACAGACCACCGTCATATAGCTGGAATATTGCTGAGTGCGGCATTAAACAGCAAACAAACAAACCATTATATATTTGTTGTATAAGACCATCTAGTTTTGAGTTATCTTAATGGTCATTTACACCAGGTATCTGGTGTGTGAAATAGACAGACAGACAGACTCCGAAACGTTGTGTACCTCATAATAAAGAAGTTGAAATCCATATATTCTCTTCCTTATGTGAATCACTTCTAAATGTCTTTCAAAGATTTATATATATATATATATATATATATATATATATATATATATATATATATATATATATATAAATCTTTGAGAATATATTTACCCTAATCTACAATCTTGTCTTAAACAACATATGGAAAATCCAATTATCTGGAAGGCCGATGGGCCAGTAACTTTCATAAGCAGTTTGTCTTATTACTATCTTTTGTTTGTTTGTATTTTTTTGGTTTGTTTTGATTTGTTTGTTTTGTTTGTTTGTTTGTTTGTTTTTGGGTGGGGTGGGGTGGGTGTTGTTTAACACTGCATTCAGCAATATTCCATCTATATGAAGGCGGCCTTTAAAAAAATCGATCTTAAACCAGACAATCCAGTGATTGGTATTGTGAGCAACGATCCACACCATCCTGGTACGAAGACACGCAATCACCCATGTCACCGATCTATTTGATCCATCTTACGACCAGAATGTATGTTGGGACCTATTCTTACCCGGTATCCCCACTATTAGTATCAATAAGAAAGGAAGCAGTTCTGAGTGTGTTTCCATGGATTGACTGGAATCATATATATACATATCATGGAAACGTGCCTGTGAGATATGGCATGGGAGTGTTTACTCTTCTGTCAGCACATACAACAAAATATGAAAACATTCAAATAATTATTTCACAAATTGTTCTGAGCTTACAGTGATACATCCAATTATAGGTCATCATAAGTATAATATTTATCACATCCTTGCCCCTTAAATGTTACATCGCTGGATAAAGGTGAGCTTCTGTACCGCGGTACTCTGAGCTTTAAAATTCAGTTGACATGTGCATTGCACTATGTAATAATTTTTTATTGGTTATCTTTGGATAATCCTTCATGTTTGTTATACACATGCATGTTTTACAATAATTAGTAAATGTATATGAGACTATGTCAAATAGATTTATATATGTAGCTTTAGACGTATCTTCATGAATGCTTTTGGGGTTAAATTTTAAAATAACATTATTATTAAACAAACTCACAAATATATATTCACAGTTGACTTAGATTGATGATAATGTTGAGTGCACAAAAGGGAACTAGTCAACATCTGACAAGAATCGGCAATACCATATACATCTATTTTTATACACATATTCAGGAACGGAGAAGAAGAATTTTACGTGATTGTGCCAGTGTCTGTACTTTATTCCAGTACTAAAGTGAAATCACGAGGATTAGATTGTGTTAAAATATATGGTTATAATTAATAAACATCTGTTACCTTGCAGGGCCCACTTGCACAAAGCGATCTCTAAGATGATCTTAACTCCCACACTTTAACATAGGGTTACAATAGTCTTAGCGCTAAGTTCGTTTTGTGCCCTGGGCCCACTTGCACAAAGCGACCTTAGCGCTAAGATGATCGTTAGTCCCATACTTTAACATAGGGTTACAATAGTCTTAGCGCTAAGATCGCTTTGTGCAAGTGGGCCCTGGTGTTCACAAAAGGGGTGAGCTTGTCTTCCTCTAACGGTGGCCACCAGCCACTCACACAATTTGCCAAATGTAAAATATATACTTATTGAGATCTGTATGTAATCCATACAATACATTAATGTTCTTGCATTAAAATTGATGGGTGTGGGTAATTGTCCCTCTGTTGAGGGAATTGTGGGGAAGTGTCCTATTACATGACACAATGTGAATGACAAAGGCATTGAATTAAAAAAAAGATTCGGTAGTTCATTCCAAGGAGTAATAAATAGGCTGAAACATAATGAAATAATAAAGTTGCTGTGTGGGATCGTACCGACATTTACGTCATGTTGATATCGGGTTTCAGCCACATGTGTTTGGTTAAAATTGTTCGTCAGAAACAATTGACAGTTGGAATAATAGAGTGGCGTTAAAAGAATAATTTATGTCCGTATATGTAGTGGCGAAGTTACTGAATTGAAATAGAGGTCTTGAATATTATAAAAATCGTAAAATCGTTTCTAAATACCATTCTGTACCATCGATTATGCGAAACACACTTTTTGTAATGCTTTCAATTACAAGTGTGATATGCAACTATCGTTTGAATGAATCTAAATGTTATCGTGTAAAAAGGTGTTGAAATCTTTTACCTAACGTACATTTATGCA